TTCATTTCCTTAATGATTAGAGATGTCGAGCATCTTTGGAGAAATATCTTGAGTCCTTTGCCCATTTTTAAATCTGTTTATCATCTTCTTGTTATTGAGCTGTGAGAATTCTTTATATATTTTGCATATTACTTGATTTGCAGGCTTTTTTCCCCTGTTCTGTAGGTTGCCTTTTCACTCTGTAGAATGTGTCACTTGATGTACAGAAGTTTTAAATTTTAGTACAATTCAGTTTATTTTTTCTTTTGTTTCTTGTGCTTTTGGTGTCATGTCAAAATCATTGCCAAACCCAATGTCATAGAATGTTTCCTCTATGTTTTCTTCTAAAGAGTCTAGAGTTCAGCTCTGAAGGTCAGGTCTTTGATTTATTTTGAGTTAATTTTTGCTTATGGTGTAGGGGAAGGGTCTGACTTCTTGTACTGGTCAGGGGATTCTTGTGGCAAGAATACTGGAGTGGCTTGCCATTCCCTCCTTCAAGGACTGTGTTTTGTCAGAACTCTCCTCTGTGACCTGTCTGTCTTGGGTGGCCCTCCGTAGCATGGCTCGTAGCTTCATTGAGTGATGTAAGCCCCTTCGCCACGACAGGGGTATAATCCATGAAGGGGGTTGAAGGCAGAAGGAGAAGAGGGTGGCAAAGGATGAGATAGTTGGATGGCATCATCGGCACCATGGACATGAACTTGAGCAAGCTCTGGGAAATAGTGGAGGATAGGGAATCCTGGCGTGCTGCAGTCCATGGGGTCACAAAGAGTCAGAGACAGCTTGGTGACTGAAGAACAACAAGGGTACAACTTGATTCTTTTTGTGGATACCTAGTTTTCCCAGCACTATTTGTTGAAAAGCTGTCTTTTCCTCATTAAATGGCCTTTACAGCCTTCTGGAAAATCGTTTGACCATTTATTTCTGGACTGTTGACTGGTTTGCTTGTAACCCACTTGTTCTGAGTTGTCTCTGAGTCCATGGCCATCAGTTTCTCCAGAGCACAGACCTCTTGTCTTTTCATGGTTTGCTGAGTGTAGTTACAGGACTTGCTCAGGGTAAAAGGGTCTGGGGGCTCTTTCTTCTTTTAAATACTTCAGCCTGTCGCGTTTTTCATACAACTTCAAAGGAGCGAAAGTCTCATTTCCTAAGCCTTCCTGGGGTTGCCAGAGTTCTGACTACTACTTGTTGATTTTCCCATCTCCTGCAGGCTTTGGGTTTAGCTCTTTCCAGGATATTAAAGCAGTTATCACTACTCTGTACTTTACAGTTTCCAAGCTACTATTTTGTCTGCTATTATTAATCACTTCTTTGGTTCTTTTTATTCTCCTGGGTTTATGTCCCCCACCCCTTTTCCTTCATTAGATAGCAGCTCCAAGAGGGAGCCAAAGTAAACATTGTCCATTCAGGCTTCCACATTTAAAGTCTTACATTTAAAGCATTTTTAAAATTTGGGACCATTTGTTGATTCTAAAAATTCTGTTGATTCTTTAAAATATCTAAATGGTCTTCATTACATCCCCTTTTTGGTTTTTTTTTGGAGGGGCATCTTACTTTTTAAAGGTCTAGCTATTTCAAGGGATTCTTACTTTATAGGGCTTCCCTGGTGGCTCAGTGGTAAAAAATCTGCCTGCAATGCAGGAGACCCAGGTTTGATCCCTGGGTTGGGAAGATCACCTGGAGGAGGGCATGGCAACCCACTCCAGTACTCTTGCCTGGAAAAGTCCATGGACAGAGGAGCCTTGTAGGCTGCAGTCCATGGGGTCGCAAAGAGTCAGACACAACTGAGTGACTTCACTTTACTTCAGTGAGGTTGGGTGCACGCTAAGACTACTGTGTCTTGTCTGCAAATATTTTCTCTTGGTGGATTGTTTCCTTACACGTTATTTTAGATTGTGTACTCAAATATTCCCCAAGTAATGACCCCAGAGAATCTTGGGCAGTCGGGTTGAGACTGTGTCTCCACAGTGGTTCTGCAGGTTAAATTGAAACACTTAACCCAAGTGAAGATGTGCCTCTTTACAGAACCTCATGGTAGACTTTTATTTTTAGCCTTGACTGCAGACTGAAACAGACAAGCTTCTCATTGGGCATATTTCCCCTGCCCTGTTTTTATTGAGGTAGGAGGGGTAGTCACCTCCAAGTGCATGCTTCTCTGCCATGTTTCCAATCCACCCTCACTGTTAAAATGAAAACTTTCACATTCCAGTTACGCACCCCACTCTAGTCCCTGCTGCTGCTGCTGCTGCTAAGTCACTTCAGTCATCTCCAACGCTTTGCGACCCCATAGACGGCAGCCCACCAGGCTCCCCCGTCCCTGAGATTCTCCCGGCAAGAACACTGGAGTGGGTTGCCATTTCCTTCTCCAACACTTGAAAGTGAAGTCGCTCAGTCGTGTCTAACTCTTAGCGACCCCATGGACTGCAGCCTACCAGGCTCCTCCATCCATGGGATTTTCCAGGCAAGAGTACTGGAGTGGGTTGTCATTTCCTTCTCCAACTCTAGTCCCTAGGGTATCCCTATTTTCAAATCTTATTTTTGTTTTTAATTTTTTCTTTACTTGAGGCCCTTGAGTATTTTCTTTATTATATGAGCTCAGTTGTGCCTTTAAAGGTATGCTTACCTTAAAAAAAAAACACCACACACTTATAATGCTTATTATGTTCCAGGTGTTCTTCTAAGCATTTACAAACATTAAGTTATTTAATTCTCTTAACACCTTGGTAAGCTGCTATTACTATCGTCCTCATTTTCACAGATGATAAAACTTGAGGCACAGAAGGTTCAGTTGCTTACCTGGGATCAGGATCACACATCTAGTTAAAGATACTCCATAGGCTGTGTGTGTGTGTGTGTGTGTGTGTGTGTGTATCACACATCTAGTTAAAGATACTCCATAGGCTCTGTGTGTGTGTGTGTGTGTATACTCCATAGGCTGTGTGTGTGTGTGTGTGTGTGTGTGTGTGTGTGTGTGTGTGTGTGAGTGAGTGAGTGATACCAGTGTATGTGATCTGTGTGTGATCAGGATCACACGTCTAGTTAAACTCCGTAGGCTGACTGTGTGTGTGTGTGTGAGATCAGTGTATGTGACGTGTGTGTGTGTGTGAGATCAGTGTATGTGACGTGTGTGTGTGTGTGAGATCAGTGTATGTGACGCGTGTGTGTGTGTGTGTGTGTGTGTGTGTGTATGATCAGATACTCCATAGTCTGTCTGGTGTGTGTGTGTGTGTTGGCTGTTCAAGGGAGTTTTTCTTTCCAGCTAATTGTTTTAGAGATGAGAATTAATAATAGCTATAAATAATGCTTGTGTTTAAATATACCAAAAGCCATACATCTCAAACCAGAGTGTTACAACATGGACCGAAATGCCCAGTCTCTAACCCAGATTTCACCCCTGTGTCATTTGTGCACAGTTGTGGCTGGCTCTCTGAACCCCATGGACTATCGCCCGCTGGGCTCCTCTGTCCATGGGATTTTCTAGGCAAGAGTACTGAAATAGTTGCCATTTCCTACTTCAGGGGATCCTCCCAACCTAGGGATCAAACCTGCATCTGCTGCATAATATCCAGTTTCTAACTCCAGACTTAACAGCTAACAAATTCATAAAATAGAGAACAAAGACAAACTCTTCTAAGGGTTTCTGGTGTAGATTTTCTCCTTTGGTAGCTGACCCCCTAAGACCATAGCCCATAGCAGGACCTCGAATGGCTGAGGAGTGTTCTTTTATGAATGGAGAGATGGTGGTTGCACAAGAGGGGCTGGGCTAGGGCTCAGGTGGGCTGACTGACAGCAGGTTTCTTGTAGAAGATGAAGGTCTGGAAATTGATTTTCTTTATAAAAACTCTATGTTTTAGAAAGTTCGGGAATTCCTTATACTCCCGTTATTACATAGATATATGCTATAGAAAGTTGGAATTACATATACTCCAGTTTGCAAACCATTCTTCTACAGAATACCTTTTCTCACATGTGTACTTCAGCCTGATGGTAAACATGCTTGAGGGTTGTCTGAAATCGAGGGTGGACAGAGGAAAAGCAGACCTCTTTCTGACACCTTGTGGCAGCTGCTGAACACTACAAATGTTTGGTTATAGTCATGTCTCTCGGCTCTTCACATGAAACACTTGCATTGCCTCTTTTTTCTTCCTGAAATGTAAGATAATCTGTTCAAAATGAGCACAGAAAAGTCCTCATTCCATGAAAATGCTCTGCATTTTGAAATATCCAAGCCTCAGCCTTTTTAAACCATTTATACATTTTTACACATTTGATATCTGCACTACTCAGGATTAAGAGAGTTCCCCTGTAGCATGAAGTTGATTAATATACTCTTCCATACTTTATTATGACGAGTCAGACAAAATCTCTAGAAGCAAGGAGGTTTGTTGCATTTGAACTGTTACTTGACGTTGGTTGAGGGCTTTTAGATATGTTAATTAAGCCTAATGCACAAAAGGCGAAAACATCCCTTTGACCAAGTCTTAGTTTTATCTCATGGTAATTTTGAGGTGGCTCTAGTGGTAAAGAACCCTCCTGTCAATGCAGGAGACATAAGAGATGCAGGTTCAATCCCTGGGTCTAGAATATCCCCTGGAGGAGGACATGGCAGTCTACTCCAGTACTCTTGCCTGGAGAATCTCATGGACAGAGGAGCCTGGTGGGCTACAGTCCATGGGGTCTCAGAGAGTCAGACACTGAGCGACTAAGCCTCTCAATTCTGAGGCAGGCCTGGCAGGGTGGAGCACTTTAGAATTGGGCCCCTTCAGATACGGCTCTGGATTGGTGGGCGCAAGGAGGCAAGGGGTTTGCTGCCCATCTTAATGAGAAACTGTTTGGCTGATATTTCAGCCTTATTTTCCAGGAATCTAATCTGGGTTTTATCTTCCAGGTGTCTCCTGACACAAGCAGTTAAGTCATTTTTGCTTGATCTTGGCGTTAATACTGGGACGGAAGAATATTTTGGCTTCTGTTTGAGAAAGTGAGGCCTTAATTAATTTACATGAATCATTGATTTGTTTCAGCTTTGCCCGAAGTTTTTACATACAAATTCTACAAGTCACACTTGGCCATTTAGTGCAGTCGCTGAATTAATAGGTAAGTAAATTGATGTTTCATATATAATCTGTTGCTGGCAGTGAAGTTCTAAAAAGCTTTTTATTAAAAAGTGATATGAAGATACGCTTTTTTAAAAAACCAAACGTGTCAGTGATAACATTAGTAAAAGTTACCTTGCATCACACCCATTCAAGCTAGTGTCAGATCAGTCATTGCCCAGCTTTCCCTGTATGCTGTTGTTTGAAGTGTTACCCTATACTACTGTCAGAGCAGAGTATTTTAATTGGCAGAGTTCCTGAAGCATTTATGTTGAAAATATTTTTAGTCTCATCGTAAAAGAAATAGGTCTCTATTGCCGAAAAATGAGAACTATGTTTAAAGTCGGAAATTATTTATAGCACTTTTCTGACATTAGTAGTTAGGAGGTTTGTTTGTCCATGGATTTGGCTGTGGTGGGTCTTTGTTGCCGCACGTAGGCTCTCTAGAGGTGGCGAGCAGGGGCTGCTCTTCCTGCGGTGCGTGGGCTCCTCTCGTTGCAGAGCACAGGCTCTCGGTGCACGGGCCTCAGTGGTTGCAGCTCTCAGGCTCCATCGGCTGCTCGGTAGTTGTGGCGTACTGGCTTAGTTGCTCTGAGGCATGTGGGATCTTCCTAGACCAGGGATCAAACCAGTGTCCCTTGCATTGCAAGGCGGATTCTTAACCACCGGACCTCCAGGGAAGTCCTAAAAGTGTTTTAGTGAACATGAGAAAAGAGGCAAGGTCATGATCGGATTTGCATTATGGGTTTTCTTTGGTAAAAGTCATGCACATGAATTGTTTCATTTAAACATGTTTGAGAAACAGATAATAAAGGAAAACTATATTCTTGGGAATTCTTAGATACACTTTAGATTATTTGTCAAGGAGCGGTTCTAAAGTGGATGCGCCAAGAATAAGGAAAGAAAAAATTTGAGAACCCTTCTTTTCTTTATGCCTGATAGCTCAGTTAGTAAAGAATGCATCTGCAATGCAGGAGACCCAGGTTTGATACCTGGGTCAGGAAGATCCTCTGGAGAAGGGATAGGCTACCCTCTCTAGTATTCTTGGGCTTCCCTTGTGGCTCAGCTGGTAAAGAATCTGCCTGCAATGTGGGAGACCTGGGTTCAATCCCTGGGTTGGGAAGACCCCCTGGAGAAGGGAAAGGCTACCCACTCCAGTATTCTGGCCTGGAGAATTCCATGGACTGTATAGGCCATGGGGTCACAAAGAGTCAGACACTCTGAGTGGCATTCACTTCCTTCTTTTCTTTGGCGTAGTTAGATTTTCCAAAGTCCCTAACATGTTCTGTTCAGATGTAAACTCTGAGGTGTAAATGAGATAACATTGCAGCTATTCACAGTCACTCTTTTTCCTTTTTATGGCAACCCAGAGGAACTACTCAGCTGGGATTGTTCATTCATACATAGTACTTGTCTAGTTTTGGGATAGGGCAACTGAAAGCCATTATGCTCTTTGTGGTGTATCACATTTTAAGTGCTTTTTTTTTTAATGATGCTGAAGTGGTTGATAAAAAGATTATTTTATTTTAATTGAAGGCTTACAGGAGTTTGAGAGCCACTTCTTATATTATAATAAAGTCTTCAAAATATACCTCAGAAGTATTTTTAGTCAGTTAGGAATATTCAGATAGATTTTAGACAGTTCATAAGTTGATTTTTATTACAGCTACTGTTGAAAGTTTTTTCCTTTTTCTTTGCTGTATTCCTTAATACTTAATAGCTGTTCTGACAGCAGCAAGTATGCTAGACAAGGGTGTTAAATGATGAGGTGTACAGAGATGGCTTCCCTGGTGGCTCAGGTGGTAAAGAACCCGCCTGCAATTCTGTAGACCCGGCTTTGATCTCTCGGTTGGGAAAATTCCCTGGAGAGAGGAATGGCTACCCACTCTAGTATTGTTGCCTGGAGAACTCCATGTACAAAGGAGCCTAGCGGGCTACAGTTCATGGTGTTGCAGAGTAGACACCACTAGACGACTAACTTTCATGAAGATGATAAAAATGTACCTGTCGTCAGAGGCTTATATTAGATTAAAAAGGGCTAAAATTTGAAGAACTGTGTAGAAGGTGGACTTTCATCTGTGTGTAGGTTAGCATACTGCTTTCTCATTCACTCAGTAATCCTGTGTGGACCTTCCATACCAACTTGAAGTGCTGTTGACACTCGGCTCTAAGTTTCCTTTATGATAGCTAGGCTAGTTCTTTGGGCAGAGACCTTCCTGTCTTGACCATCTCTTCGTCGCAGTGCTTCTTTTGGCTTCACACTTCCGTAGTGTCGCGGGTTCCCGCCCCCATCCTCTGTGTGACGAATGGAGGGCTGTAGATAATTCCGTAAGAGTCAGCGAGTGATATACAGCATGTTGCAGGTTAGTTTCATGTCGAATTTCAGAAGTTCGGGAACATTTCAGCTGTTAAAGTTTCCTTAAAACATATTCTGTTGCTGGTTATAAAGGGTTGTTCAAAACTGATTGCTCTTCTTTAAAATCCAAAATCAAAATTTCTCAAACTTGTGTTTCCCAGATAATGCTTATGATCCTGATGTGAATGCTAAACAGATATGGATTGACAAAACAGTGATAAATGACTGTATATGCCTGACATTCACTGATAATGGGAACGGTATGACTTCAGACAAATTACATAAAATGCTAAGGTATGTAAAAGCGTCACACTCCTTAAAATCATTGTTTTTACCTAGTTGAAGTGTTCCATGTGTTATACTCACCGCCTGTAGTTCCTGTTTTTTATTTTTTTTTATTCCCCCCCCCCCCATAGTTCCTGTTTTTTAAACATGAGATGTACCCACAGTGTGCTCTATTCTGTAAGTCTTCCATTGTTTTCTATCAATGTTAGGTTATTAGGCAGTCCCGGCCAGTCTCATCATCCTTGCCATGTCTTCACTTACCTAAATTCCCCCGTTCCTTTAGAGTTGTAGTACATTGTCCTCTGTTGTTTGTGCTTTAGTAGAAAAATAGTTTTGGCTACCATATCCAATAAAACTTAACACTTTGGAGAATGGAAACTAGTAATTTTCAAGTGATTCAAGGATGAGGAAGTAGCATAGTCATAAGGTCTTGGGCTCTAGGGCAAAGAACAGGATGTCAGAATGAATCCAGATGTACCTGACATGGAAGCTAAAACACGTAGTACAAGAACGAGTTGGAGGGAGGGTTTGGAGCAGAGGCCCCTCTGCTGTCCTCCAGCACTCCTTATGCTGCCAGAAAAGGCAGGTTCTCCCCACTAGGAGGAAGACGGGAAGTCTCAAGGTCCCAGAAGCCTCAGCTCATTGATCCATCTAGCTGGGATGTGCCAGGCAGGGAGCTGCTGTGTTAGTGTGTGTATGGCAACCCATTCCAGTATCCTTGCTTGGGAAATCCCATGGACAGAGGAGCCTGGTGGGCTACATTCTACAGAGTCGCAAAGAGTCGGACACGGCTGAGTGAGTGAAAAGCAGCAACAGTCCTTCCATCCCTACAGTGTGGATTTGGCTTCCTTCATCTCAGAGATGGGGAGACACATCAGTACAGATCATCCAGCAAGGAAGGGTAGGGCTGGCATTCAGACTTAGGCATTTTACTTGATATTAACAATGTTTGAACTCAAATAAATGAAGATTATACTTTTTTCTTTTTAGCTTTGGCTTCAGTGAGAAAGTCACCATGAATGATCATGTCCCAGTTGGATTGTATGGAAATGGCTTCAAGTCAGGTTCTATGCGTTTGGGTAAAGATGCAATGGTTTTTACCAAAAATGGAGAAAGCATGAGCGTGGGTTTCTTGTCTCAGACGTACTTGGAAGTCATAAAAGCAGAACATGTTGTTGTCCCAATCGTGGCTTTCAACAAACACCATATCCTTTTGATTTTGAAATTAAAGCTGAGGAAATAAGTCTGGACCATTCCGTCCTTTTGGCCTCCTCTGGGTTCTTGTTTTTAATCATACCTTCCGTTCTAGCTCTTGTTCCTGTCCACTGCTTCTGCTCTGCGTCTGGGCTAAATGTTTCTCCCTCTCTGACCTCTGTTGGAATTGTGCCATGGAAATACTCAACATAAGGCGGTTGCATTTTTATTAAGCTTCCCAGAGCCCACCTTTTTATTTCAGTCTTTTTGTGGTCAGTAAGACTTAACGGTCTGGCTTGAAATTTTCACCAACAACCATGAAAAACAAGATATCTCTAGGAAAATATATTCTGTGTAAACGTTCAAATATTTGAAATCACTAAATTCGTTAGGAGTCATAATATACTTGTTCATATTTCTTGTTCATTTGAAATCACACTGTGATTTTAAAATTTAGAGGATAATTTAGTAGTTTTTCAGTTTGAGTTGGTTTCCATATTATAATTGAAAAATGTTGTTGGTCTAAGTCTTTAACTTAAGATATACGACAGGTATTAAATTCAACAGAATCAAAAGCGAGCCTTGCTGCAATTCTGGAACATTCTCTATTTTCTAAGGAACAGCAGTTACTGGCAGAACTTGATGCTATCATAGGCAAGAAGGGAACCAGGATCATCATTTGGAATCTCAGAAGGTAAGTGAAACAGTAGCCCTCAGCTGGTTAACCATTTGGGAAGTAAAGTGCATGGAGTAATTTCATTATGTTTATCCATTGTTATACCGAGTAGAAATGTATTGGAAGGTCCTCATTTTATGGCATATTTAATGATTTACCTTGTCCCAAATGTGTTTCATTGAGGCTTCTTTGGCTTCAATTTGAGATAATTTTATATTGTTATAAATAAATTTCCTGGCCCTGCCACTGTATCTACATAGCACTGTTTTTTTGCTCTTGGTTATACTATCCCTCGCCTCAAAAAAAAAAAAAAAAGACATGACAAGATAAAGCCCAGCCAACAAGTCCCAACTTGGTAAAGTTAGAAAAATCCTTTTGGTTCATTACATAAAGCTAAGCATGATTCAGTATCTGTTGAGAAAAGTAATAATAGATGAGACTTCTGTGTTGCTAAATCTTTGTGAGGATAAAATCCTTTCCAGATGAAGCTATGAACTTTAGAGTGAGTGTATAATATTGAGAGATCTAATTGATCTGTTGAACTGTAAAAGTTAAGCAGAAAGAGTGATAATCTTAAAATCCTTTAATTCTTATGCTTTTCTAACCTCTTGCATTCCCTTTTTCTTTTCTCTTCCTTTTCCCCTGCCCCTCCCATCCTCACCCCCATTTTTTTTTAAACTTAATTTTGAGGTACTTGCAGACTCCTTTGTAGTTGTAAGAAATCTCAGGTACTCCTTCCCTAGGTTCCCCCCAGTGGTAACATCTTGAAACACTGTAGTAAGAGTACTGTTGATACATTGATACAGTAAGGACATTTTCATCAACTCAGGATCCTTTTTATATTCACACCCACTCCTTAATCCCTGGCAACCGCTAACATGTTTTTATGTTTCCGTGTCTTTGTCATTTTAAAGAATGTTATTATATAACTGGAGTCACATAGTGTGAAACCTTTTGGGATTGGGTGTTTTCATTCAGCTTAATTTTCTGAGGATTCATACGGGTCCTTGTGTGTCTGCTCGCTTCCTTTTCCTTGCTGAGTAGCAGTAGTGCGTTGTCTGCATGGACCACAGTGTGTTTACCAGTCTAGTTGTTTACAATTTTCAGTTACTACAAGCAAAGCTGTAAAATAAGTGCATAGAGGTTTTGTGGGAATATGGTCGTCATTTTATTGGATAAATGCCCAGGAGTGTAATTGCTGGATCACATGGTAGTTGCTTGTTTAGTTTTTTAAGATGCTGTTAGAATGTGGCTCTCTCATTTGACATTCCCACTGGCAACATGTGAGTAAATAGTGTTTCTGCACCTTCCTGGATTCTTTTTCTTCCTTCCTTCCTCCTGCTCCTCAGATCTTGACTCTTACCATGTATTTGTTGGTGCTTTGTTTTGTTAACGAAAGGTTACTTGCTTGCTTCTCTTATGGTGAAGTTAATATTTAGCTCTTTAAAAAATTTTTTTACAGCTACAAAAGTGCAACAGAGTTTGATTTTGATAAGGATAAATATGACATCAGAATTCCAGAAGATTTAGATGAGACAGCAGGGAAGAAAGGGTACAAGAAGCAAGAAAGGATGGACCAAATAGCCCCTGAGAGTGACTATTCCCTGAGGGTATGTATTCTGCTCTCTGTGGGAGTGAGAAAACCATCAAATAATGGGAATTATATTATCCACTTGTGTTATAAATGCTGCCAGAAATCTCTAAATGAAAGTGTCTCAGACATGAAACAAATGTATTAAATTTGTCATGCTCGTTGGCTGTTTTATTTTTTTAGAAAAGTTTTTAAATTGTGAAGTCATCAGGTCTAACTGTGGTTGTAAAAGTTCTTTCACTGTGTGATTAATTATTTGAATTGGGAATACTAGAATCAAGATGCCGTGATGACCATATTGGTTAATTCAATCAAAATACCAAATTGTCTTTTTTAAAAATTAAAATATTCTAGAACACACACATTAATCGGTACTCTAAAGCAGTGTTACGGATAGCTTACATATATTGCACATTAATATAATTTTGTGGTAAATAACTCAGATCTGACCTGAAAGTGGGTTATGCTTCTAAGATTGAAGGAATTAATATCTCAGTATAACAGTGTTGATATGAGAATAATATTGTTTCTTAGTCACTATGAGACATGCAATACTGACTTTCCCCGCCCCCTCCCCCCTCCCTTTTTTTTTCCCCCTTTCGGTCAACCACATCATGGCGTGTTGGATCTTAGTTCCCCAACCAGGAACTGTGGGGCTTCCATGCCCCCTGCAGTGGGAGTGCAGGGTCCTAATTACTGGACCTCCAGGGACTTTCCCCATTCCCTTTTTTTGCATTAAAATTATCTCATAACCCAAGCTAAGGATACATTTGACATTGACAGGTTTACTGTTTAAGTTGTTCTGAGATTCTAGCAATTACAATGGCAGAAGTTACTATTCCTTGCCATATCCCAATGTGATAGGGAAGTATGTCTTAGTGGTTAAAAAGTCTTGCTCAAGAATATCTAGAGGCAGCCAGAGCAGATGGAATAGTTTTAGTATACCACAAAGTAAAATGTTTTGAAATATCATTAATGAATTTTATAAATGACAAAACACTACTTTTGAAATCAGGAGTCAGGAGGGAAAAAGTAAGAAAAATGTTCAAATTTTAGTTTTGTGTTGAGTTTTTCATATTAATAGATCCTTATTGAATTGTTCGATTCATTTCCTTTAGAGATTTCTGATAGCTTGCAGACAGGCACAAGAGATCATATTTTAACATGTTTTAGGATGCTAAGTTTGATCACGATTCTCAAGTATCTAAGCTTTGATGCGTTAAGAATTGAAAACACACTTACCCTCGCAGTGCAGTGGTTAGGACTGGCGCTTTCAAACTGCGATCCATTCAGGTTCAGTCCCTGGTCAGGGTCCTAAAAAAATAAAGAAAAAGGAATCGAAAGCACATTTGGAGGACTGCTGATTGTTACAATTCCATATGGAAAAAGTGTTGTTTGTCCACTCCACTTAAATATTGCTGCATTTTTTTTTTCCTTTTCAAACTTACAATAGTCTCCTTTGTTTATATTAGATTTTTACCTATTTCTGCACAAGTAAAATTTATTGATGCTTTAAAATTATAATAACAAAATATGTTTTTGACAGCAGAGTCAGAAAATATAGGTCCTTTTTTGTATACATAGACATTTTAAAAAAATTTATTTATCTATTTTAATTGGAGGATAATTCCTTCACAGTCTTGTGGTGGTTTTTGCCATACGTCAGCATGAATCAGCCACGGGTGCACGTGTCTTCCCCCTCCCCCTCCCTTCCCACCACTTCTCTCTGGGTTGTCCCAGAGTACCAACTCTGAGTGCCCTGCTTCATGCATTGAATTTGCACTGGTCATCTATTAAAATGAGATTATATCATACATGCTCTTCTTAAACTTTTTTCCATATAACTTAGCAACATCTGTGTAGGTCGGTTGATTGTTTTCTGTAAACCCTTTTTACTGGCTCCAGTATATTGAGCTTGCTTGTTTACTGGCTCCATTATATTGAGCTTGTTTTTAATACAGTAATCAAATGCTAACTAAAGCACCTTTATAGTCTGTAGTATTTTATTGAAGAGTTAGTGAGTCTTTTATTGTCAAAGCACTGAGCTAGCCTTCTTTTTAAAAACATATGTAAGTAATGTTGAACAAATCCATTGGTAATTGTTCGGAAATGACAGTCAATTGTTGTGTGTCTTTGCAGGCTTACTGCAGTATATTGTATCTAAAGCCACGAATGCAGATCATCTTGCGTGGACAGAAAGTAAAGACCCAGCTAGTTTCGAAGAGTCTTGCCTACGTTGAACGTGATATTTATCGACCCAAGTTTTTAGTATCCTTTACTTTGTTACGATGCTGTATATATATATAGAGAGAGAGATCAAGTGTATTTGCCTTCCCCATTTCTCTTTTTATCCTGACAGATTCTAATCCTGTCCAACTGCCTTTAATGCACCTTTGAACTCAATGAAATAGAGAGGATGAATTAAAGAAAGTGAAATGGTGTATTCAGAATTTTCCTTAACATTTAAGACTAATAAAACTGTGAGAATTACTTTTGGATTCAATTGCAGAAATAAAGATCATTATGGAATAATGATGTATCACAGAAATAGACTCATCAAAGCTTATGAAAAAGTTGGATGTCAGTTAAAGGTAAGCTTATATCTGAAAATGTCTGAATCTTTTATAAAAGTTAGGATAACATGTTAACAGGTCAAATGTGAAATAATGTGCTTTTTGCCTAATGATTTTTATTTTTTTGTCTTAAAATATTTATTTACTTGGCTTCACTGTTTCTTAGTTGTGGGGTGTGGGATTTCTTCACTGTGGCATGTAGGATCTTAGTTGCTGTATGTGGGATCCAGGTCCCTTAACAGGGATGGAACCCAGGGCCCCTGCATTGAGAATGCGGCATCTTAGCCGCTGGACCACCGTGGAAGCCCCCTGCCCTTGCCTCGTGACTTCCAATGTCAGTGTTTTAACAGCATTCGTGTGGTGCTTGACCGTAGAGTACTTGTGTATTGTTTTCTCATTTGGTCTTGAATATCATCTTACAAAGAGGACAGAGCCTTTTCTCTGATTTACAGATGAGGAAATTGGGGCTCATACGTAGCTTGCCCTAGATCTAAAGATGAGTGTGGCTCTCAGACACAGATGCAGATCTTGTTGCTGCACTTGGATGAGGATCCTGGATTATTTTATGTGAGAATAAACTTGATCAGTTTTAATTTGTTGTTGCTGCAGTAGCCTAAAAAATAGTATCTGATAGGTGATTTACTTTTCTGGAGTTAGTTCCTAAATATGTTAGAATTTTCCTCCTAAACCGCTTTCATTTTTGTAGAGTTCAGTTTAGGATGATGAACATTGCCTACTGTGTCTGTCTGTTTATCTTTTACATGTTTCCACAGAGGGTTTTCTTTTTGATGTGTGTGTGTTAAGAATTTAGTGTTAAATTCTGAAATTCAGCTTTGTTAAAAAGACTTTTAAAGTCTAGGCATATTTTGTTTTCCAGTTCCATGATTTTCATTTTCTGTTCATTTCATTTTGTTCTGAATTCTTTGCAACAGTGTGGATGGACCCAAAGAGTATTATTCTTAGTGAAATATATTAGAAAAAGACAAAAGACTGTATATTATCACTTACATGTGGAATTAAAAAAATAAACAACTCAATGAATGTAATAAAACAGAAAAAGACTCAGATATGGAGAAGAAACTAGTGATTACCAGTGGGGACAGGGTGGTGGGGAGAGATGGGGTAGGGGATTAAGAGGTACAGACTACTATGTATAAAATAAGCTATAAGGATGTATTGTACAGCACAGGAAATGTAGCCAATATTTAATAATAACTTTAAATGGAGTATAATTTAAAATATTGGATGTATCATATACCTGTAACTAACATAGTATTGTAAATCAGCTATACTTCAGTTTTTCAAATTGGGTTTCAAAAAAACCAATAGTGTCTGCTACAAAATACACATTTTTTTTCTTTTAATGAATTTGATGTAAGATGTGTAGCTCATTTTTCCAACCCAGCTAAATTTGTGTTATTTTTGGTTAAGTTTGACTTTGTTAAAAAATAAGCTTTTACAGCCAGCTTTTAATGTTTTTCTGTACCAAAAGATGAACTGGTCCTAGTATTTGGATTCATTAAACTATTTATTAAGTATTTGGTATGATTTGCCATGGTAGATGTTCAGCAGAAAAAGAGGAAAAGATACACATGTCCCCAGAGCTCTTTTTGCTGAGGGGAATATGGTATCTATCTCCTTGGAGCATCAGGCGTCCCTCATAGCTCAGTTGGTAAAGGATTAGCCTGCAGTGCGGGAGACCCCGGTTCGATTCCTGGGTCAGGAAGATCCGCTGGAGAGGGGATAGGCTACCCACTCCAGTATTCTGGCCTGGAGAATTCCATGGACTGTATAGTCCATGGGATTGCAATGAGTTGAACACGACTGAGCAACTTTGACTTTTACTTGGAGCATCAGAATGGGCTTCTTGGAGAAAGTGGTGACTGAGAGGAGACTGTGTTAATTTACTATTTTGGAAAGTCTAACAAGAGTTTTCTAGGCCCAGAAAAGGAGATCTGCAGAGGAAAAGAAAGAGGCTTCTGAGAGAATGGCAACCTTAAGGGAGTTATTTGGACCAGATGGGCTTCCCTGGTGGCTTAGCTATTAAAGAATCCGCCCAGCAATTTTGAACAGTCTCCTGCATTGCAGGAGACCTGGATTCGATCCCTGGGTTAGAAAGATCCCCTGGAGAAGGGAAAGGCTACCCAATCCAGTATTCTGGCCTGGAGAAATCCATAGACTGTATAAACCATGGGGTCGCAAAGAGGCAGACACTTGACTGAAGGACTTTCACTTTCACTTTGGACCAGATGATAATTGTGAATGCAGTAATGGGGGCGGGGGGGGGGGGAGAGGTAAGGCCAGAAAGAACATGAAAAGAGCTACAAGCGAAGGGTGCTGTGATTTACAACTTGTATGAAATGAGAAGCCACTGATGGCTTTTAGTAGAGTCACATTGTGATTAGGTTTTTACGGTTTTGTCTATAGCTCTTATCTATGAAAATTTTCATCTTATAAGTCAGTATTTCACTTTTATCATTGTACTTAAGACTCAGCTACAATTATGAACAAAATACACATGTTGATTACATATAGATAATCAGAATATGATTCAGATACGTTGAGTTCAATATTTTAGCTAGCAAGTTTAAAAAATAAATTAGGTCAGTTGAATTTTAAGTTTTTATTTCATCACAGTTAGCAATTGAATGCTTAACTTTGGATAAATGACTTTAATTTCTATCTAGCAAACTTATGGAATATTAATGTGCCAAAGCCTTTGCTGCTGCTGCTAAGTCACTTCAGTTGTGTGCAACTCTGTGCGACCCCGTAGACGGCAGCTCACCAGGCTCCCCCTTCCCTGGGATTTTCCAGGCAAGAACACTGGAGTGGGTTGCCATTTCCTACTCCAATGCATGAAAGTGAAGTCGCTCAGTCGTGTCCAACTCCTATCGACCCCATGGACTGCAGCCCACCGGGCTCTTCTGTCCATGGGATTTTCCAGGCAAGAGTACTGGACTGGGGTGCCATTGCCTTCTCCGAAGCCTTTGCTCTAGGCCCTGATATAGGAAGGAGTTAGTTGTGGTTTCTACCAGCTGAGATACTGCATCCCAGTAGAGAGGATCTTTTTTTCCTGTTGTATAAAACTGGGAATGATAGTACTTATCTAAGTGAATGCTTGACAGTGGAAGTCGTTTTGGAGGAAAGCTATTAAATTTTTAGGAATTATCTCTCCCAGAAGTAAGTTACACTCCAGATACTGTTATTCAATCTAAATGTCATAAGAATCATGAGATAAAATATGGGAAAATGTTTCATAAAGTTCTTAAATTTTGGTGAAGGAATGATTGTTTTGAGCATCATGAAGGGTTTCCCTTGTAGCTCAGCTGCTAAAGAATCCATCTGCAATGCGGGAGTATCATATCTAATGTTTGCTTATTTATTTATTTTTTTCATATCTAATGTTTAAAATGCCAATTTCATTTTATTTTTCAGGCAAACAACATGGGTGTTGGAGTAGTGGGGATTATAGACTGCTATTTCCTAAAACCAACTCATAATAAACAAGATTTCGATTATACTAATGAATACAGGTATGTTACCTATTAAAATGATTGATGACTGACTTTTTACAATTTATTTTGGAAATACTTCCTTAACTTTTTCTAAGCTGAATTTGTTTCTAATTTGTGGGAGGCTTACCTAGAAAACACATGTAGTCATTTTTTACCACCCTAGGAATTATATTCTACTCCATCACAAATAGAAATATATTCTCCTCTGCCTGTAATAGTGAAGTATTTCTGAGATTTATACTAAATAGAGGAAGTTCATGCTTTCTTGGTAACATTTTTTTGTGTATTATAAAATCTAGAAATTTCCATCTTGGATGGGAACTTCAAGAATGTTTAGTCCTCTGTACTTTAGACAAAAATACTCCTATCTTTTTTTTTTTTCATTTATTACTCCTAAGAATGATTAGAAGCCATAAAATAAATATGATCATGATTTTACTTGTAAATTTAGGAAGCATCAACAGCTGTCCTAGTGAGCATATATTATAAAATAGAGTGCAAACTTGTTATAAATAAAGAAAAATAAAGTGGAAGGAAGGGACTAATAGCAGAATCAGCAAATTATGAAACACATGATAGAGAAAATCAATAAATATATCATTCAGAGTGCAGTCCTGAGATTATAGTTACCTCTGTTATTTAAACAAAGAAAATACAAGGAGCTGTTAGCCACAGTAGTAGAAGGCGATTGCTCAGAGGGTTAAAAAGGACAGTAGCTTATCCAGAACTGTCAGATGCAAAACTACAACTGTTACCTCTGGGCTGAAAAAGAGTAGACAGTGAAGGAGCTAGGAGAGCGCTCCCAGTCCCGGAAGTCTGAGGCTCAGATCTTGGTAGAGGTTGTGACCGACAGGGGAACACACTACCCGCCATGGCAGGAAGCTTGCCAGAAGGCCTGGCCACTGTCCGTCTGTAGACATGGCCTGCTTTTGGCAGGGGATGTAGGCGGGCTTGGACTGAGCTGTCCCTGGAGGAGACCTGTCTCTGCCCAGGGGGTTCGTAGGCTGGAAGAGTCTCTGCTGCTGGAGGGAAGAGCGTGGCCTGAGGGCACAGCTGGAGCTCCTCTGGAAGGGTCAGTGCACTGAAATTCAGAAAGCAGTTGGTGGGTTGGTTGGCAACATACTTTCTCAGCAGAGGACCCCGAAGTACTAGTATTTTCTGTTTTATTCCTGTTGACCCTGGCTCTGTTCTGTGAACTTCTAAAGATCCTTAGAGATTGCCATGACTCTCAGTGTTCTTACTTAACTGAACCTTTCAGAGAGCCCTCCACCCTGCCCTCCCCACTCCCAGTGTTCACATAATCGGTAAATACTAGGTTGCTTATGCTTTCTTTGTGTTTGACAAAAATTTAATCTTTATTATTTTTTTTCTTGAATTGATTTTGTAATTTACTTCTTTTTGAGGCTAACAATAACAGCACTGGGAGATAAGCTCAATGATTACTGGAATGAAATGAAAGTGAAAAAACATGCAGAATATCCTCTAAACTTGCCAGTTGAAGATATTCAGTAAGTACATTTAAAAAATAATTGACTTTACTATCAGGATGTGGTATTGGAGGGCATGGCGATTGTACAGTGTTCATAAACTTTGGAATCTAATACGTAGTAAGAAATCCCAAAGCTCAAATCAGCATACTGTAAAATGAATGTATGCACTTATACACAAAAGATTCTCGAAACAGTATTTACCTGTATTATTAGTGTTGATAGCACTTACTTTATTTAAAAATGCTCATCTTGACCCACTAAAGTGACTTCATGATCCACTAATGGGTTGTATCTCATAGTTTGAAAATCTCTGGTCTTGTGTAATAGGATCAGGTGTCTGAAGCCAGATTTCAGTTTACATTGTAGTTCTGCTTAAGTAGCTGTGTGACATTGAACATGTTATTTGACCTAGTTTAAGCTTCCATTTTATCGTTTGTAAAACGGGAACAATAATAGTCTTTACCTCCTAGAGTTGTAAGACTTAAAAGATAACAGTGCTCCTCAGTAAAACACATAAGCCCTCTGAATGAATAACAACTCTGTGTACTGATGGAAGGATGTCCAAGATAGGTAATGGGAAACAAAAAGGATGCAACTCAGTGTCTTAATTTTTCCATTGTGTATGTGTTTTTTTTTTTTATTGTTCACACACATATGCATACTTTAATAAGCATAGAAAATTTATACCAGGATTAAAGAAATAAGCAGTAGTAACCTCCTGAAACAAAGGGTTTATATTTATTTTATAAAGTTCTGGATTGTTTGAAGTTTCTATAAAACCATTTAAATGTATTCTTAAAAGTTACCAGCATTAAGGTGAATTCATTGTATGTTAAAAGAGTCTACGTAAATTCTTTGCAGGATCATCGTAATTTTTGAATGATAAAAATGTGAAAGCCTTATTTTATAAACTAAAGAAATGCACAAATTTAAGTTGTTCAGAGATATGCTATAGTAGAGGGTAAAATGTAATACAGTTAAAAAGTTGCTTAAATTGCAATAACACAACTTGCCTATTTTCTGTACTTGAGTTGTTATTGTGCTAAGAAGTATATTGGATTTGACACTACAGATGCTAACTTAATATAAATTTCAGAGCAAGTCATTTGTAGTGTTTTCTTAGGTTTTTGAGTTTTTACTATAGAAAAAATTTATAATGTGCTGTTAAACAAGACATTTAAATCACTTTGTGTAAATGAGTCTGTCACTTCAATAGTAGCCAGAATTGTTTTTAAAAACTAATTGTCCACCAAAGTAGTTATGTTACAGAATTTTCAGGGACAGAATTAATAAGAGAATTTTTTGGGAGAAATGATGTGGCAAGTCCAGTGAAGTACTTAGGTCCGTATTTCCATGTTAGTATTGAATTGTTATTTTGTTACAGGAAACGTCCTGATCAGACATGGGTTCAATGTGATTCCTGTCTAAAGTGGCGAAAATTACCAGATGGGATAGATCAACTTCCAGAAAAATGGTATTGCTCCAATAACCCTGACCCACAGTTCAGGTACCATATAGTTGGTAGTACCCTTTTTTGGAAAGGCAGAAAGTACTGTTCAAGATGTATGAATAGGCGCTGGTGACGTGTTATTCCCATGTGATTTTTCTGACTAGAAATTGTGATGTTCCAGAAGAACCTGAAGATGAAGATGTGGTGCATCCCACTTATGAAAAAACCTACAAAAAGAAGTGAGTGTTGTCTGAAAGTATGTGGGAGAATAAAGCCCAGATCATCCGCAGTGCTCTGTGTACAGTATCAGTCAATGCATCTCTAAGAGACAGCAGGATAGCCACAAAAGATGACGACTCCAACATGTGGAGTGGATACCATCAAGTGCTTTTTAAGTTTATGCAGTGGATACCTGCTGGTTATTGCTGTCCTGTCTACAAGATACTTTGCCTATGCAGTATAGTTTTGTTTTTTTGGGCTAAACACCAATGAATCAGAAGTGAATACTGCCCTTTTAACAGAGAAAGTGAGACGTGTGTGCTTTACCAGTGTGAAGTTGACAACCCCTGTAAAAGGCCTGACTCTGTCCTGTGAGGAAGCCCATAAGGATAAATCCCTTTGGCTAGGGACATGGATCAGGAAAATCCCTGCTGGGTGGGATTTGTTGGGTGGAGAGCAGTGGTTTGTTTAGCTTAAGCAGAGTAAATAATGCGAATGGGCCTAGTGGAGAATAGAGGTGGAGAGAGAAGCTGGGAACAGCAGTGAGCCACAGGGAGCATTAGGCTTGCATGCCACTCATGGAACATCGAGTTCATGAAGGTTTATAGTGCACTATTGATGATAACGTTTGAAGCAAGAGTGGAAGACATTAGGGTGTTTCTGAGATAAGAGGCAGAAAGCTCCTCCCTGCCTCGGGCTTAGCACTTAATATAATGACACTGAAACAAAGTTCAGTGTACCTACCTGTCTTAGTGACTTCGTAGTGAAGTGGCAAGTATGTCATTGGAAAACAGTTGAAAAATGAAGTAAATTTAAATTTGTTCATTTTTCTTTTTCTTTTCTCTCTCTCTCTCTTTTTTTTTTAAGAGACAGGGAAAAGTTCAGGATCAGACAACCGGAAACAGTCCCTCGGGTAATGAGGCCTTCCATATTACAGCTGTGTCCTGGATTGGGTGGTGATTAACTTAGTACTCAACTTTAAACTCAGGAGTTACATAGCAGATTGAAGCAATCTTGTTCATTCAGTTCACATTTTCTTCTCTTCTTGTACCTGCTTCTTACCCTTTTCCCCAACGCTGACTTCCTAACCCAACAACTTCACTCAAGCGGTTCAGTTTTATTCTCAAGTTGGGCATCTGGGGAAAGGCAGATATTCTTTTAAGAATCTTCTCATTAGGTAGACAGTCAAGGAAAAAAATTCATAGGAACACCCAGGGGGCTGCATTCTAGTACTGACTTGGACCAGAGCTACATTGTTGACCCTCCTTCCCTTTCTCTCTCTCTATTTTTTTTTTTTCATTTATTTTTATTAGTTGGAGGCTAATTACTTTACATCATTGTAGTGGTTTTTGTCATACATTGAAATGAATTAGCCATGGATTTACATGTATTCCCCATCCCGGTCCCCACTCCCACCTCCCTCTCCACCCAATCCCTCTGGGTCTTCCCAGTGCACCAGGCCCGAACACTTGTCTCATGCACCCAACCTGGGCTGGTGATCTGTTTCACCCTAGATAATATACGTGTTTCGATGCTGTTCTCTTGAAACATCCCACCCTCGCCTTCTCCCAGAGTCCACAAGTCTGTTCTATACATCGGAGTCTCTTTTTCTGTTTTGCACATAGGGTTATCGTTACCATCTTTCTAAATTCCATATATATGTGTTAGTATACTGTAATGGTCTTTATCTTTCTGGCTTACTTCGCTCTGTATAATGGGCTCCAGTTTCATCCATCTCATTAGAACTGATTCAAATGAATTCTTTTTAATGGCTGAGTAATATTCCATGGTGTATATGTACCACAGCTTCCTCATCCATTCGTCTGCTGATGGGCATCTAGGTTGCTTCCATGTCCTGGCTGAAAGTATAGTTAATTTTGTAATACTAGTTTCAGGTGTGCAGCATGTGATTCAGAATTTTTATAGATAATACTCCAATAAAAGTCACTACAGAACGATGGCTGTAACTTCCTGTGCTATACAATAATATAGCCTTCTCGCTTGTCTCTTTTACACACAGTTTGCCTCTCTTAATCCCAGAGCCCTGTCTTGCTTAATGCTTAATGGTGTTGAGCTTTTTTTAGTGTCTAAGTAGGTAGTTGTACTTCTTGTTTAGGAAGCTGTGGGCTTCTGCATTGGTATATGTATGCTTATCAATACATTGAGATGTTCTCTTATATAAAGGCTGAGGGTTTGAGAGTGAGAACAGAACTGGGAGAAAACAGATAGTGGGCTTAGGTTTTTTAAAGGCAGTGTCTTTGTGACTTTATCTTCAGTTTCTTTCTCTTGGGAAAATGTTTTTATTATGTATCTGTGTAAGCTCTCTATATAATCCAAGGTCAACAAATCTTTCTGTAATAGGTCAGGTGGTATTTTTAGGCTCTGTGGACCACACATACAGTCTCTGTGGCGTATTCATTCTTTGCTTTGTTCATGCGTTTAAAAATGTGAAGCCAGTCTTGACTCACTTGCAGGCTGGACTTGGCTCTTGGTCACTCCCTGGTGTAGTGTACACAGTGCAAGGATTTCTCGTGGTTACGATAGTTCTCAGTGCCTTCTGGGGTAGGGGGACAGGGAAGGAGTATTTTGTGTTTGGGACAGGACACATTTTAAAAATCTCTTTAAGATCAGTTTTTTTTTTCCTTCAACAGATTCATGCCGAACTCCTGTTTCCAAAAACCCCTGTGTCAAGTCAAACCTTTACTCCCGTTAAGGAAAGTGTTCCACGAGGACATCTTTCAGAAGTAGCAAATACTTACTCAACAAGGCTTATAAACCATCATCGAGGTTCACCCCAATCTGAACCTGAGAATAACAGGTCAGTCGCTAAAATGTGTTTTTCCATTTGGGAAACTAGTATGAGACAGCCTTTACTTGACAGTTTTATGGCAATAACGCACTTCTAAGAACGTGTAGTTTTTACGCATATTAAAAAAAAGTCTTATGGATGAGTTGGTTTTTGTTTAATCGCGAAGTCGTGTCCGACTCTTTTGCGACCCCATGGACTATAGCCTGCCAGGCTCCTTCTGTTCGTGGGATTTCTCGGGCAAGGATACTAGAGTAGGTTGCCATTTCCTACATCAGGGGATCTTCCTGACCCAGGAATCAAACCCACGTCTCCTGCATTGGCAGGTGAATTCTTTACTGCTGCGCCACAAGGGAAGCCTTAAGGATGAGTTATTTTGCTTTTACTCTCTAAACGTACCTCTACCCTACTTATGTTACTGTTTAAATCAATTAAAAGAATATTGTTTTCATTGTGGGAATTAATCATATTATCACCTCTTTGCAATTCTGTATAGTGAGAAAATCCCTGCTTTTAAGATTATCACTATCTGAGCAAAGAAAAACATGAAGCAACAGCAGTTCACAGTACAAGAGTATAATGTCAGGTGTGACCCATAAGTTCTCAGCATAGCCCATGACATGCTGTGTACTTTGGATGAGTGGATGGAAAAAGAAGAGGAAGATATATGAGTGATAACGTGAATTGAACGGTTCCCTCTCTTGACCGGAATGGTCAGGGAATGCTTTATGATGAGGCGGTGCGAGGTTGTTTCCTGAAATTCTAAAAGTAGTACTGTGCACAGGTTGCACTTTGAAAGCGAATAGAAGGAACACAGGTGAAGAATGAAGTGTGTGATGCCAGTTAACTCATACGTTAGACTCCTGGATTTGTTGTTTGAAGAGAAACACTGAAATGAGATTCTCTGAAATAGTGAGACCAGACATTCTGAGAGGTTTTTCTTTAATTTGTTAATTTCTGTATGTCTGTGCTGGGTCTTCGCCACCATGAGGGCTTTTTCTCTAGTTGTGGTGCACGGACCTCTTGTTGTGCAGTGGCCTCTCTACTCGTGGAGCAGGCTCCAGGGCTGGCGGGCTTCCATGGTCGTAGCACATGGACCCAGCAGTTATGTCTGGACCCCGCTGCCCCAAGGTATGTGGGATCCTCTTGGATCAGGGATTGAACCCACGTCTCCTGAACTGGCAGGTGGATTCTTTGCCACTGAGCCGCCAGGGAAGCCCTTCAAAAGAATTTTTGAATATTGAGAAAAGATTCAAAATAACTGCGTTTATGCATATATACATCATGGAGGGCATGTTTTGAAATAGTTTGCTATTTATATATAGCCTACATTTTGAGGTCTTTATTTTGTGTCTGGATTGCTGCTTAACTGAGAACATGTGTGAATTTTTTTTAAACTAGTCTCCATGATATTCTTGGCTTTTCTTTATAAAGCTGGTTCCAGACAAAGTAAGTAAAAAGTAAATTTTTTATAATGTTTACAGACAGGGTAATGGAATTTATCTTTGAAAGTGACTGCCATCACTGGAGGAGGGTATGGCAGCCCACTCCAGGATTCTTGCCTGGAGAATCCCATGGACAGAGGAGCCTGGTGGGCTACAGTCCATGGGGTCGCGAAGAGTCCAACACGACTGAAGCAACTTGAGTGCACACACATAGCCACCAAAATGGTAGAAGGGAAGAGAGCAAGATTTTTCATTTGTAAACCTCTGTTCTTGAATTGATAGAGCCAAAGTCTGTGGGGAGATGGTTCCTAAACTAAGTCTTGACATACAAATAGGAATTAGCCTGGTATAAAAAAGAACAGGGCAACTTCCAGTTAAATGCTTAACTGCTTGGATCACTCGACTGTCTCAGAACTTGGAAGCATTGGACATTTCTGAAGGTGGGAAACTGGGGGTAAGACCAGGAAGCTAGTATGAGAGTTTAGGGGAGGGTAGTTCCCTGGGCCTTTTTGCAGCCTGCAAAAGCCAGAGGTGCTGCTGCTCTTCCTCTGTCAGAAGGTAGGGAGCTTACTCTCTGGAGCAGTTTTCACTACAACTGTTTCAGAAACAGAAGGAGTAGGGGAACATTTGAATACTGAATGGTGAGGAGCCTGTCTCCCCTCCTCCCCCCCTGGCTCCCAGGAGGAAAGACCTAGGTGGTGATGATGGCATCCTTGGACTCCCACGCCCAGCCCTCACTGCTTCCAGTCCGAAACAGAAATATAGCCGAGGATTCCCCCGAGGTACATAGCTCAAACAAAGGGAGTAGAAAAAGCCATGTGAAACTGAGAGCTGGGTAGATGTTTACCAGATAAATCTCCCAGGATGAAGAGAAACGGAAGACAGAAAAAAGAGGCAATGCACTGGAGGGACCAACCTCTGAATAAGGATATTTCAGAATGGGAGATCAGAGAAGGGAGAAAATAATAGAAGAAAGGCTTAACTTCCACAGCGTAATGTCTGGGGAGAGATAAGAAATATCATCATGAAGTTTTAAAGCACTCGGGAAAAGAATTTTTGGTTTCAGAGAGGAGGACATAGGCTATAATCAAAAGGTAGGAATCAGAGCGGCAGCAGCAGTGACTGTAGGTAACGATGGGATAACGCCTTTAAAGTTTCGAGAAAGTAATTCCCAACCTGGACGTCTGTATAAAAATCAAACCATCATTGGACTTGAGAGGTGAAAAAAATATTTTCACTGTGTAATATTTCACATTCTTTATGTCATGTGTACCCTTTCTCAAGTTCTTGTTGAAGATATGTCCCCTCCATATGAGAGAGTAAGCCTAAGGAAAGGGGAGTTCTTTCTTGAGAAATGAGGTCTTAACATGTAAGCCCCAAATGGCAAATTAGTACAATTGTCCCTCTTAGATGGGACAAAAAGTGGTCAGTTGGTGATAAATTCACAGAAAACTAATCAGGTGCAGAAAACGAGGCAATTTTTAATGCAGGGTAAGTTGTCTCCCAGGAGAGGGCAGGGCGTGCCAGTTTACTTTGTGACCCACTTTTGTTCCCTGAATGTTGATGGAATTACGATGGACAGATGGGAATGGCAGTGCCACGCAGTGACCTCTGGGTCACAGAGAGCACCCCTGGGGTGAGTGGTGGCATTCTGTCAGGATGTTAAATGGAAATGCCAGTAGACATCAAATGAAGAAATACATCGGCAGCATAAGGATGTGGTACTTTGAAGAGGTCTTAATAGTCTTGTTTCCTTATCTGTAAAAGGAAAAAATAATTTCTACTTTATTAAATCATTGAGCAATATTCTGTAAATATATTGTTTAAGAAAATGAATGTGGGCATTTCTTAGAATTTCAAGATATATTACTTCAATGTTGTCTTACTTTTTCCATATACATTTTATAATCTTATATTTCATGTATGAAACTTTTTCCAGCCTGAAACGGAGACTCCCTACTCGCTCCTCAATTTTGAATGCAAAGAATCAGAGATTGAGTAATCAAGTATTCGAAAATTCTCATAAAGATGATGATGATGATGAAGATGTCATCATCTTAGAAGAAAATAGCACTCCCAAGCCTGCAGGAGATGATGATACTGAGGTGAAATTGCAACAGAGTCCCATGGAGCAAAGTGGTGTTGACGTGGAGCCTGTGGGTGATAATGAACCTTGTGGCCAGACGGGTTCCACAGGCACCTCCGCATCCCGGTGTGATCAGGGCACCACCACAGCCACCCAGACGGAAGTGCCAAGTTTAGTCGTGAAAAAGGAGGAGACTATTGAAGATGAGATAGATGTGAGGAATGACACGGCCACACGGCCAGCCTGTGTGGGAACTGAAGGGAAGACGCCTGAGACCCAGGGAGCCTTGGATAAGTCTGCTAGCGACGCTGGTTTCCAGTTAAATGAACTAAGAAATGAACTGCTTCTAGTAACCCAAGAAAGAGAAAATTATAAAAGACAGTGCCACATGTTCACTGACCAGATCAAGGTGTTACAGCAGAGGATACTGGAGATGAACAACAAATACGTGAAGAAGGAAACCTGCCATCAGTCTACTGAAACCGATGCTGTGTTTCTACTGCAGAGCATTAATGGTAAACCCGAAAGTCCGGACCACGTGGCATCTCAGTATCGGCAAGCCTTGGAAGAAATTGAAAGGCTGAAAAAGCAGTGTAGTGCTTTGCAACATGTAAAGGCTGAATGCACTCAGTGTTCCAGTAGTGAGAGTAAAAGTGAGGTGGATGAAATGGTTGTGCAGCTTGATGATGTATTTAGACAGCTGGACAAATGCAGTGTTGAGAGGGACCAGTATAAAAGTGAGGTGAGTTATGTCCCTCAGCATAATGAGAGGTGTGGGTATCCAGGGGCATCCCAACCTTAACTCCCCAGTGGCTAGATCTGAATAAATCACTTCATAATATTTCCATTTATCGACTACCTACTAGTCCACTGGTTCTCGACTGGGAGTGGTCCTGGTGTGGGCATCTGGAAATGGATAGGGTAGTTGTGCTTCTTTCAGTATCTTGAAGGGATGGGCAGTGCTGGAATTGAAGGGGTGGGGACCAGGTCTGGTAAATGTCCTGTATACACAGGACCCTGCTATACCACGAGGGATTGTTCTGCTCACTGGCCCTGAGACAGTCAGTTACTAATATGCTGGAAGCTCTATGTCTGTTATTTATAAGCCTAAAAATAACCATATGAGGTAGATGGCGATGTTTGTTGTTGTTCAGCCACTAAGTCATGTCCGACTCTTTGTGACCCTGTGGACTGCAGTATGCCAGGCTTTCCTGTCCATCACCAACTCCTGGAGCTTGCTCAAACTCGGGTCCATCAAGTCGGTGATGTTATCCAACCATCTCATCCTCTGTCATCCCCTTCTCCTGCTTTCAGTCTTTCTCAGCATCAGGGTGTTTTCAAACGAGTCGGTTCTTCGCATCAGGTTGCCAAAGTATTGGCACTTCAGCATCAGTCCTTCCAATGAATATCCAGGGTTGATCTCCTTTAGGACAGACTGGTTTGATCACCTTGCAGTCCAAGGGACTCTCTAGACACTTCTCCAACACCACAGTTCAAAAGCATCAGTTCTTCAGCACTCAACCTTCATTATGGTTCAAATCTCACATCCATACATGATGACTAGAAAAACCATAGCTCTGACTCTATGGACCTTTGTTGGCAAAGTGATGTCTCTGCTTTTTAATAGACTGTCTAGGTTTGTCATAAGTTTCTTGCAAGAAGAAAGTTGTGTTTTAATTTCATGGCTGCAGTCACCATCCCTGGTGATTTTGGAGCCCAAGAAAATAAAATCTGTCACTGTTTCCACTTTTTCCCCATCTATTTGCCACAAAGTAATGGGACTACATGCCATAATCTTCTGTTTTTTGAATGATGGATTTTAAACCAGCTTTTTCACTCTACTTTTTCACCATCATCAAGAGGCTCTTTAGCTTTCTGCCATTAGGGTGGTTTCATCTGCATATCTGAGGTTAGTGATATTTCTCCCTGCAATCTTGATTCCAGCTTAAGCTTCATCCAGCCTGGCATTTTGCATGATGTACTCTGCATGTAAGTTAAATAAGCAGGGTGACAATATACACCCTTGACTTCTTTTCCAGTTTTGAACCAGTCCATTGTTGCATGTCTGTTTTTAACTCTTTGCTTCTTGACCTGCATACAGGTTTCTCAGGAGGTAGGTAAGGTAGTCTGTCTGGTATTCCCACCTCTTTAAGAATTTTCCACAGTTTGTTGTGATCCACACAGTTAAAGGCTTTAGCATAGTCAGTGAAGCAGAAGTAAATGTTTTTCTGGAATTCTCTTGCTTTTTCTCTGGTCCAGTGGATGTTGGCAATTTGATCTCTGGTTCCTCTCCCTTTTCTAAATCCAGTTTGTACATATGAAAGTTCTTGATTCACAGACTGTTGAAACCTAGCTTGAAGGATTTTTAGCATTACTTTGCTAGCATGTGAAATGAGTGCAATTGTATAGTAGTTTGAACATTCTTTGGCATTGCCCTTCTTTGAGATTGGGATGAAAATTAACGTTTTCCAGTCCTGTGGCCACTGCTGAGTTTTCCAAATTTGCTGGCATATTGAGTACAGCACTTTTAACAGCATCATCTTTTGGATTTAAAATGCCTCAACTGAAATTCTGTCACCACCACTAGCTTTGTTTGTAGTGATGCTCCTAAGGCCCACCTGACTTCACACTCCAGGATGTCTGACTCTAGGTGAGTGATCATACTATCGTGATTATCTGGGTTGTGAAGATCTTTTTTGTACAGTTCTGTGTTTTCTTGCCACCTCTTCATAATATCTTCTGCTTCTGTTAGGTCCATACGGTTTCTGTCTTTTATTGTGCCCATCTTTGCTTGAAATATTCCCTTGGTATCTCTTATTTTCTTGAAAAGATTTCTAGTCTTTTCCCATTCTATTGTTTTTCTCTATTTCTTTGCATTGTTCACTGAGGAAGGCTTTCTTAACTCTCCTTGCTATTCTTTGGAACTCTGCATTCAGATGGGTACATCTTTTCTCTTCTCCTTTGCCTTTAGCTTCTCTTCTTTTCTCAGCTATTTGTGAGGCCTCCTCAGACAGCCATTTTGCTTTTTTGCATTTCTTTTTCTTGGGGATGGTTTTCATCACCGCCTCCTGTAGAATGTCACAAACCTCCACCCATAGTTCTTCAGGCACTCTATCAGATCTAATCCCTTGAATCTATTTGTCACTTCCCTCCTTCGTAAGGGATTTGATTTAGGTCATACCTGAATGGTCTAGTGGTTTTCTTCAATTCAGGTCTGAATTTTGCAATAAGGAGTTCGTGATTTGAGCCACAATTAGCTTTTGGTCTTGTTTTTGCTGAATGTATAGAGCTTCTCCATCTTTGGCTGCAAAGAATATAATCAGTCTGATATCAGTATTGACCATCTGGTGACGTCCATGTGTAGGGTCGTCTCTTCTGTTGTTGGAAGTGATATTTGCTATGACCAGTGCATTCTCTTGGCAAAACTCTATTAGCCTTTGCCCTGCTTCATTTTATACTCCAAGGTCAAATTTGCCTGTTACTCCAGGTATCTCTTGACTTCCTACTTTTGCATTCTAGTGCCCTATGATGAAAAGGACATCTTTTATGGTGTTAGTTCTAAAAGGTCTTGTAGGTCTTCATTTAAGTGAGACTAAACCAGTGAAACTTTATTTATAGCATGCTGTTTTTTGTCTATGTTTTGTTGGTTTTCTTTTGGTTGGTTTTCTTTTTTCTTTTTGGAGTGTAAAATGAAAGTGTTAGTCTCTCAGTCGTGTCCGGCTCTTTGCGACCCTATAGACTGTAGCTTGCCAGGCTCCTGTGTCCATAGAATTCTCCAAGCAAGAATACTGGAGCGGGTTTCCATTCCCTTCTCCAGGGGTTCTTTCCAACCCAGGTCTCCTGGATTGCAGGCAGATTCTTTACTGTCTGAGCCACCTAGGGTAGTGTCTTAATTTTTTAATGGAGATTTTCATCATGCAGGGTTTTGTACATTTCTTAGCTTAAATTTGCACTTTGATAGTAGTATTTTAAAATTTACAGTTATAAAATTAATTTTTTGTCAGATTGAATTATTGGAAGTGGAAAAATCACAAATCCGTTCGCAGTGTGAAGAACTGAAAGCTGAAATCGAACAGTTAAAATCTACAAGTGGACAAGTAGGAGCTGATGTATCAACTTCAAGTAACATCGAGGAGTCTGTAAATTACACTGATGGGGAAAGGTAATACGAGATGAGGCAGTTTGGCTGGGACTGCAGTTCTGGTTAGCATGATACTTGCTAGTACTCATCAAAGGTTTTTCTGTCAAAAGTTGCTTGCTGTTGTGATCCCAGGATTATGATAGATACAAAAAGAAGTATATGTCATCATCCTTTCCTTCAGGGAACTAACAGTTTAGTGAACCTAAGTGAAATAGGAATTTCAAAGGAATAAAGCTCTGATTGGTCAGAGTGGTTAGGAATATTTTTGGGGGGAAAGTGAAAATTGTCCCAGATGTTAAAGAATGGGCTGAATTAGGCAGTGACTAGAGGATAAGGGTCCATTTCCTAAAACTTAGTTTTTTACCTTGATTTCTTTCTGTGCTTGGCACCGTTTATTTATGGTTTGCTCTCATTTTACTGCATGCTTCACTACAGTCTGCTACTCATTTTACTACAGTTTTCCCAGTTTTAACTTAGGAAATCCACAATTACTGAAAGTTGCTGTTACGGGTGATTAATAAGGAAGAAGTTCTGTGAAAATAAGAAAACATAAATGAATGATTACTCTCAGTAGGGCATTAAATGGACTTGGGGTTCTGACAGTATTGGTGGTCTATTGATAGCTTATTATTCAAAAACATTCATTAAGAAAAAAAAATGGTCATTAAGTGATAAAACTGTATAACTCTTCCTGCTAATGTAATAAGACTTAGCACCTGAAACATACCGTTGTTGGGAAATAGTTTACCATCCTTACCTGACATTTAAGTTTTTGAAGGATTTAATTAAATCTGTTTATGGAAATAGAATGAATAGATTAGTACATATAACTGTGGGGTCAAGGGTTCAGAAAATAAACTCCCAACTGGTGTGTCTGAAAACGTTAGCCACAAACATCTGTATTGCTTGTAAAATACAGATCCTTGGGCCGAAGTATGGGTTACTGAGTTGGAAACTTTTAAACGGTTTTCCAGATTATTCACTTGCACACTGAACTTTGAGTCATTGATGACCATTTAGGTTTGTGCTTTCCAAGACAGTATAGCCACATTTGGCCACTGGCACTTGGAATATAGCTAGTCTGAGTTGAGATGTGCTTTAAGTATAAAATACATGCTGGATTTTGATGCCCTCATATTCAAAAAAAGGAGAAGAAACCACCTCAGTATTTTGATTATATGATGAGATGATATTTCATGTGTAACAAATGTATTGCTTCATTTTAGTTTTTAATGTGGCTACATTCTTTAACATTGCATGTGGAGCTCACAGTGCTTTTTCTCGGTGCTGTTACATATACTGAAATAGGGTCTTGTGATGTGTCCTGTAGAGAAGGGCAGTTAGCCAGGACAATCCAGAGACTTAAAGGATAGGAAGGTAAGAGATGGCTCTAGGGTCATGCTGGCCCTTTGTTTGTTTTTTGTATAGAAATTAGGCATCTGATTGGAGATGAGTGGGTAAGCTTGGACAGAAAGCAACTGTTATGGGAATGGTGTAAAATTTTATCCAAGATCCAATGGAATCCTAAGATAAGCTCACAAACCAAATGTAAAATCACATTTTTGCGTGTTGTCAACCTAAGATGAGCATCTTGTTCCTTCAGAGATTTCTACCCTAGAAAGATCAGTATCTAAACTAAAGATAGGCTTCTTATATTTGGGAGGGGGCACAATAGGAACAACTCTAACATTCTCTTGATCCACGTGTTTCACTCAATCTTCAACGAAAGACCACTTGCTGATAGTTGTAGGTATGTCTCTAAAGTCCAGAATGTTGATATTCAGATACCTGCATGTATGGAAATCAGGAAGGCATGATAATGCTCATTTAATCTAGAGTTTCCCAGTGTTGATAATGAATTCATAGTATAGTTGATAGTGAACTTTATTTAGTATGTGATAGGTTCAGAGAAATCCTGCATTTAAAAAAGATCTTGTCTAACATTATTTAACCCAAAGTTTATTAAGCTTAGTTAACCTCAAATCCATTTATACAACTGTGGATACTTCACAGAACATGGTTTAGGGAACAGTTCAGTTTAGTTTCCTCAGAAGGAAGCTGAAATTCAAAGAGCTATGTCTTATTCTTAGACCAGTGTTCTCACTAGTATATCAATACTGTTTTCCAGGTAATAATAAGATTTTCAGTTGCAAATAGCATCTTGTTATTTATGTATTTGCCAGTCCACAGTTTTTCCAATCTCAAATTGAAATTATATTAGTTGGAACCAAACAGAGCCACTAGTTTTATGAAACATTCTGTTTACCAACAGATAAATATTTAGTTGTTAAATTATAAATTATTAAGTGAATTATTAAATCCAGTTCTCTTGAAGTTTTGCTTTTCATTTAGTTTGTGTGCCATTCTGCAGAGATTCCATTTTAATATTTCTCTTAAATTTTAAGCCCTATGTGAATATTAAGCTGTATTATTATAATGTTCATCTAATAGGTGTAATGTTTGTATTTTCAGCCTCAAACTTCGATCTCTTCGAGTTAATGTAGGACAGCTCCTGGCCATGATTGTACCTGATCTCGATCTTCAGCAAGTGAATTACGATGTTGATGTAGTTGATGAGATCTTAGGACAAGTTGTGGAACAAATGAGTGAAATCAGTAGTACTTAAAGTGTATTCGAGATAATAAAAAATATTTGCTCAGTCTTCTGGTTGTACAGCTTTTGAAATGTAAACAATTTTGTTATAGGTATGATAGGTAACAGACTGAAGAACCATAATCTTTGCTGTATTCTATGCATCAAGTGTGGACACAAATACTGTGGACACATTATCACACCTTTTGAAATGCCTGTGAATCATTGATATTGAGAAGCTACACAGCTAACTCATGATTCTGCTTTGAAATGTAAATACTTAATAATTAAGTCTGCACATATTTTTTTATCACCCTAAAGGACTCAAGTGTTTTTCACCAAGAGGATTTCAGGTTGCCCCTAACCTTTGTGCAATCTTTTCTGGTTACCTAAAGTGTATTTTTCTCTGACTTGAAGGCTGTGCCATAATACAAATGGAAATGTTCCTTTGGTTTTCTTACAGAAAAGTTTAAAACAGGGTTTTTAAAATGGAGTAACAGTCCTGATAAGTTTTAAGTGAATTGAGCATTAATGTTTTTTTTTTTTATAAATTCCTATTTCCTGAAATATTTTATTCATGAAAAGAAAGTAAAACAGAAACTCCATTTTTGCCAGGATTTTTTTTGTGTGGAGATTGCCAATCATGATCAAATGCAAAGTGTTTTTTACAGAAAAAAGTAATGATTTTTAGTATAAAAATATAAAAAATATTAAATGTCCCACATTTACCTTGAAGCCCATTTTTGGCTGCTTTAGTTCGCATGGAGTGGGCACAATGATTGTTTAATATTTCTTTTTGTGAAATTTCTTGTACAGCCTTTTGTAGAATTACTACAGGTTAATATGAGTTGAGGAAGACAATCTTTCTCCAGCAGTACTGCATACTTTTTATTATATTACAAACCTAAGTGTTTTACGTCCTGGAGTTAAGCAACAAACAACCTATGATTATAGTATTACATGCCCTAAAAATTATGCTTTATTGGTCCCATGTTTTGTGCAATTATAAAGAGATGGCTTTCTGTTAAGTGTAACTGTGTATATAGTTAAGAATCGTATTTTCCACATCAAAGTTTTATCATTGCTATTTATTTTTACTTTTGTTTCTGAACATTGAATACATGTTCCTTTTATATGCTTAATTACATGTCTATCATGTACAATGTTAAATTTTTACTGTACGTTAACTTCTAGAAAAAGCAAATAAGTGAAATTTTATTTGCTTGATAAGGTAATTGAAAGTGTATTTTTGGTATGAAGCTGGTTTTCTGTCACAATTGTATCTGCTCAGATTTTAAAAATCTTGTAATAAAATAAAAATATATATGATGGCTGACATTTCAGATATTACTTTTGAGAAATTCTATATTCAAGTTATATTTTGAAAACTAAGATTGTGTCTGTTAAGACCCTCAAGTTGAGCTCATATATTTATTAGAAGTTACATTTAGAAGACTAATACTGTTTGTTTCCATTAAGACTCTTTAAGACTGGGCTCACCTTGAGAGTGTGTATGAGCATTTTACACTGAAAAAGAAACTTTCTTTGTATAAATCATTTAAAGAAACCTTGCCTAAATGAGAGCAGCTGTGGATAGCATGTCTAAGTTTGTGAATATTTATGTAGCACTTATTTCTGGAATTTGCAATTTTCCCCTTCCTTTTGGTCAGCTATATTCTTGCAAAAACCCATATTATATGGCTGTTAACTGGCTTAATGGGAAAATTAATCATAGAATTAGTAAGAGAAACTTGCTTGCTAAGTTGATTCTTTGAAAATATTTAACCTAATATTCACTCTTTAAGAAAATATTGCCAAGATAAGACTGAAAATGTGGCTAGCAAATTTAAGAGAAGAACAACATGGACCCACATCGCATATATTGAGGTACCTCTACCTCTTTTTTTTGTTGTTGTTAAATTTGTTAAAAGGCTAGTGTGGGAGGAGTGTGTTGCTTAAACCAGTTGTTTAAAGCTTTAAAACAAAAACAGTGTGAGGACATAAACTAGAATTGTCCACAGTACCTACAAACAGGACCTCAGCAGAGACCACAAACTCAGTAAAAGCTAAATGCTCACACAGCAAGGCCAGTGTGGCACATCGATGTTTCCTTTATTTGGCCTCAATTCCTAATGTAGGCAGGAGGCGCTGGTGACTGCCCACGGTCTCAGACAGTTGACTTGTGGTATTGCATGACCCGTTAGGTCATTATTTGACATGGAGGGATAATCAAAGATGATACATCCTGGTGGGTCCCACCACTGGCTGCATTTTAGAATCACTTGTGGAGTTCTTAGAAATCCCAATGTGAGGATGCTCCCCATACTATAAGAGTTTTGAGGGTTGAACCAATTGTCAGGCTTTTTTTTAAGGCCTCCCAGTATACCATCAGAGCCAAGAGCCATTGATAAATACCCTCTAGTGATTTGTAAGTGTTGAAATCAAGTGGTTCCTGAAACAAACCCAGAATCTGCATGGCCACTTTCTCACCGGGGTATGAGGTCAGGGAAAGGGAAGCAGAGCTGGTGCCCAAGTTAGAAATGTAAATAACAACAAAATGGTATAATGTGAAAAGACTTCCCCACTGCTTCCCTGAAGGTGACCAGTATTCTCTGTATGTCCTTCCAGAAAATATTAGCTGCATACATATACACATTCATATATATGCATTCAGTTTCTATTACATTTTATATCTTTATATTTGATTATATATTTGTATCAAATCTATATAGGTATTAAACCATGTAATTGGTAACATTTCCATATTACTCTTTGAACAGCATTTTAAAATGACATGAATACACTCCCAGTGCTCCTTTATTTCTTTATGGAAAAAACACTACTGTGAAATTAATACCCACCACACATACTTTTTCAAGAATATCCAATATGTAAATTCCTTGTAGTGAATACTGATTGATCAAAGGGTATATGTTAATTTTAATAAATGTTGCCATCCAGAAATCGTTGTACTTAAACTCCTATGAAAAATAAATCTACAAGTGTGTTCTTTCCTATCTCCATCAGACTTACTAATATGTGGGAAAATGGCAGCTTGCTATTCTTTGTCCCAGGTTGAACATGTTTTCATGTTTTATTGGCCACTTTAATTACTTTTTCTGTGTTCCCCATCATAACTCTCTGCCACCTCTTTTGGGTTCTTCGATTTATTGTTTGTTTTTTCCCAATTATTTTTATTAGTTGGAGGCTAATTACAGTACTGTAGTAGTTTTTGCCATACATAGACATGAATCAGCCATGGATTTACATGTGTTCCCCATCCTGAACCCCCCCTTCCACCTCCCTCCCCATCCCATTCCTCTGGGTCATCCCAGTGCACCAGCCCTGAGCACTTGTCTCATGCATCCAACCTGGACTGGTGATCTGTTTCACATTTGATAATATGCATGTTTCGATGCTGTTTTCTCAGATCATCCCACCCTTGCCTTCTCCCATAGAGTCCAAAAGTCTGTTCTAAACATCTGTGTGTCTTTTTCTGTCTTGCATATAGGATTATCGTTACCATCTTTCTAAATTCCATATATATGCGTTAGTATACTGTATTGGTGTTTTTCTTTCTGGCTTACTTCACTCTGTATAATGGGCTCCAGTTTCATCCACCTCATTAGAACTGATTCAAGTGAATTCTTTTTAATGGCTGAGTAATATTCCATTGTGTATATGTACCACAGCTTCCTTATCCATTCGTCTGCTGATGGGCATCTAGATTGCTTCCATGTCCTGGCTGTTATAAACAGTGCTGTGATGAACATTGGGGTACATGTGTCTCAGTTCTGGTTTCCTAGGTGTGTATGCCCAGGAGTGGGATTGCTGGGTCATATGGCAGTTCTATTTCCAGTTTTGTTTTTTGTTTTTTTTCCAGTTTTTTAAGGAATCTCCACACTGTTCTCCATAGTGGCTGTACTAGTTTGCATTCCCACCAACAGTGTAAGAGGGTTCTCTTTTCTCCACACCCTCTCCAGCATTTATTGCTTGTAGACTTTTGGATAGCAGCCATTCTGACTGGTGTGTAATGGTACCTCATAGATTTATTGTTTTAAAGAAGCTGAGTGCCTGTTAATGTGGCCACAAACGGCTCCAAGCTTTCAGAAAACCTAATGTTGGTTAAATCTTACTTTGCACGGTGTCTCATAGATTCATTGGGATGGAGGGAGTCTCACTGGAGTCAAGTTTTTCTGGCTTTATGGGTGCTGACCCCCACTTAGTAAAAAAATCCACATAATTTTGATCCCCCCCCCCGAAGTTAATAATAACTTGGCCAGAAGACTTACTGATGAATAGTCAAGTAGCATATGTTATGTTATATGTATCATTTACTGTATTCTTAAAGTAAGCTAGAAAAAGAGTCATAAGGAAAATGTTTAAAGTACTGTACTACCAAAACTTGTCATTTGTTTACAAAAAGATGGACCATCTCAGTGTGTATGTCAGTATTGTCTTGTATGATAGATACTGAAAATGAGAAGGTAATGTGAAGAATTCATATTTATTTACAGGTATAATGATTCATGCACCAATAATGAAGAAGCAATATGATTGCTTTATGGCAGCCTAGTATAACCAATATAATTGCTTCATGGTAGCCTATTCTGTACACTAATTATTATCAAATTTTTATGGTATACAGTTTTATAGTCATGACATACAATATTATAGTCATATTCTTAATACAGTATTGGAAATGTTGCATTTTTTTTGAAACTTAACTGTGATGATATGCCGTTTTTCCAGTTAGAAACATACTGTATGGTAATATAATTCTTTGAGAGCAAAGTTATAAAATAGGAAACAACACATTAATTTTATATTTTCACTCACTCTATAGTATCTATGTATATTTTATACTTTTATGACATACCTAAATTTTCATTATGTCATGCACTGTTATATATGAATTCTGAAGTATAAATGATTTACAACATGTTAATTTCAGGAGTACAGCACAGTGATTCAGTTATATATGTATATTTTTAGATTCTTTTCTCTTACAGGTTATTACAAAATATTGAGTAT